CATTTGACGTATATGGTGGTCACAGCATGGAACCGATGCTTCAATCGCAAGGGACTACTTCAAGGTCAAGTAGGTCTCATCCGGTGTTGAAATGAAGGATTTTTGAAATCCATTTGATTTGGTTTTTTTTATTCATGAACGAAAAGATGAGTGAAATAAAAATGGTTCTTCTGTTATTCACCCAGATAGCGGCTGTGTAGTAAGGGTGGACGAATCAACAGATGAATCAACGCGTTCGGTGACAACAAAAGATTTGCTCGTCTGGTCATTCCAAATTGCACGCGGAATGGATTATTTGGCCTCACGAAAAGTGTTGCATGGTGATCTGGCGGCACGAAATATCCTATTATGTGAAGGAAATGTTGTGAAAATTTGTGACTTCGGTTTGGCCCGATCATTATGCAAAAATGAGAATTATCACATGAAGACCAAGGTAAATATTTTGAAAAAGTGAACTTAACGTTAAGAAAATGAAATAATTTTTCATTCAATATTACTAGCGTGGCTTGCCATTGAAATGGCTTGCACTGGAGTCGATAAATGACCTTGTGTTTAGCACACATTCCGACGTTTGGTCATTTGGAATTTCGATGTGGGAATTATTTTCGCTCGGTGCGACACCTTATTTGGGAATGGAACCTGACGAATTGAAGCGCAAATTGAACGACGGTTATCGACTGGAAAAAGCTGAATTTGCCACGCAAGCCTTGTAAGTGTTGACTTCTTTGACATTTTACAAGAAAGTAGATGTATTGATTTGCTTCATAATTTCCATGCAGACACGATATCATGCTGTCTTGTTGGCGTCTTAAGCCCGAGACACGTCCCACATTCAGTGATCTGGAGCAAATTATTTCGAAAATACTTGGAAAAGCCGAAACGGATCATTATATGGATTTAAATGAGCCATATGTAGAGGCGAACGAGAGCCGATTCAACTCTGGTGATACCGATTATTTCGCTTTGCTGGGATCGCCTAATTGTCAAGCACCGTCCGTGCCGGTGAATGTGTTACGGGAAAGATACTTCCCATTCTTAGCCAAATCGCCAGACGACACACTGACCGCGACAAATGGCCTTTATGTTGAAAGCGACACACCGAAATCAAGCAAAAAAAATCATAACAACTCGGAAGCATCTATACCGCTTCGATCATTTAAACCAATTAATTGAATTGATTCTGATGAATAAATATGAACAAGGTATATAAAAAGACTCAAGTCAATGTATTACACATTTAACGCCTTTTACTCAAAATCATTAGTTTACTGTTTAACATAAGTTGATTGAATAAAGTAACTTGAGCATAAATAAATAAACAACGAAACCAATAATAAACTGGATTGTGATTTGTGTTAGATCTTTATTTGAAATTTTATTCAGAATAATTCCCACAAATATGCCTTTTTGTCCATAAAATGTTATTCCGCTCATTTTCCGGGCTCAGAAAAGTTTCTTGATATCTTCTACAATGGCCATTGGTTCGACCATTTTATCGTAGCGTTTCACTGGTTGTCCATTCTTATCAATCAAAAATTTGACAAAGTTCCATTCAATGTCAGGCCCTGCTTCGCCTTTCAATTTTTCCTTCAAGTATTTGTACAACGGAATGGCATTGTCTCCATTTACATCGATCTGGAAAATGGAATGAACATAGTTGTAATAAAAGAGGAAACTATGTATATTTTGTGTGAGATTAATTGGCTCGGTCTCTTCTAAAATTCCCCCATGTTATCTAATCCTTTCTAAAAGTAGCATACCTTGGCTAAAATTCCTCCCGGTGCAGCATTGCGTGATTTCAAATGGCACAGCATTTCGTCGCCATCACCCTCAGGCATTTGACCACCGAATTGATTGCTTGGGAATGACAAAACTCGTAGCTCTACAACAAAAATAGTTGTTAAAATGATCATTAAATTGCTGTCGCAATGAAATCATTTTCAATGTATTCTTCATAATGAATCAAGACTTCGTACTATCTCTAAAATCTTTGTCCAATTGCGTCAATTGAGCATAATTATTTTCGGTTAATCCGCAGCTCGATGCAATGTTCACAACAAGTGTCACATATCCACGGCAATAGTCGTCCAATGGAACTTTCGCGTTCATCGTGTCTTTAACTGTGAAATCAAAGATAGACTTGGCCATTTTGTAGTCGATTTCATTTGAGGTCGTGATTTTATTTTCCTGAAAATTTAACGGTTTATTTGATGTTTTTTAACAAAAAATTTATTATTTATCGAAGATAATGAAAAAGAATGAAGACGAAAATGAATGAAAGTGACGAGAACTTCGAACGAATCACACTCTAATGTCATCATCCACTTGTATTGTGTTTTCATTAAAAGGCGATTCAAACGACTTAAACAATGGATCTTTTCTATCCTTGAACAATTAGAAAACCATTTCAATACGAGTGGAAACGTCATTTGAAAACCAACACACATTTTCAGTGCAATTCGCTTTTTAAATTGAAAATTCTCACCAAATCCGCATTTTTCGATCGTTCTTCTGTCTTTTGAGCCAAAAGTGCTTTGCAGTCGATGCTTGGGTCCAAGTCACTGACCCAAGCAGCAAACGAAGTTTTTGTCAGTAGACAAACGTACAGAATGCTAATTGAAAGCAATGTAGCTCGAGAATGCATTCTCAAACAGATTGGTTTTACAAAATTAATTAAGAAAAATACGTTCACGCATTTGGCGTGAAATGAAAAACTTCCTTATTGTAAAAATCACTTTGAGAAGTTAACTCTTAATCCAACTGTTAACTTGCTGAATGATTTGCAATGAATGAACAACCTGTGTCAATTTCCATTTCATTTTTATATGCAAAAATTACAACTGATGTTGGATTGTAATGTCATGAAAATACAAAAAGTTCAATTGAATTATCATTGACTGGGACAGAGTTCTATATTATTTTCTACTTTGTATGCCAATGCTAGCCAGTTGCTTGCATTTTGTCAACATTAAGGTTATCATCATAGTACATTGATTACAATAAAATGGAAATGACCGACCATCATGGTGAAACAGTGGCTTATGTGAAATTAACAGTAGCTTATTGTGTCAGCTCTGTGACATTGGAATAGTTTGTACAATATGGGAATGATTCTAGGCTGTAAGAAGAAATCAATGGTCATCTAAATGATAATAATAACCAAATCAAAACCAACTTTATTTCATGTTTCATATTTGGAAATTTACATTTTCTTGCCATTTTTTTAAAGATTCTTATAAAATATACTTTGCAACCAAAAGAAATATTATGAATCAGTTGAATGTTTTTATTGTGTCATCTTTTGTACTATGAATTGACAAATTTACTCTGATGAATTGCAAGTTTTGAGCGCACGTGCAACGAAACCCAGTCTTCAAGAGTCATTACTTTGAGTCATGATATAACATAACAAACAAAAGGTGTTCAAAACTAGTGAAAATAGAAACTTCTTCTGTATCTCATTTGATTTAAACTGTAAATTACGATTTGTAATTAGGCAACATAAAGATTGTAGCATACAAAAACCTATTGATGAAACATTAAAGAACGTAAATTTGTTCAATTCCAAAGAAATAGAAGGAAGTAGTAGCCCACTAAGTATGCAGTTTTCGCAAAACTGATAATAGCAAACGATTTGATCACTTCGGCAAAGTTGTAGCACTTGAGATGCTCTATGACTTTGTTGGAGACAGTTGTCTCTTATCAATATCGCAAGACCGCAAAAAACCGCAATAGTACGATGCATATAAAGGTTTCTTTAACGCAAACAGAATCACCAAAAGTCATACTTTCTCATTCAAAAGTATACCTAAATCTGAAGAAATGTGCTATCTTCCACGCCTCAATCAATGAAATTTTCTAAGAGGTCTGATTTTTGGCAACAAAATTTTTTCTTTGTAAGTTGACCCACCCTATTTTTTTTTAGAAAAACATGCAGTATAAACACTCAATATATGAAATTCACTTAATTTCGTTTGATTTTTAATCGTTTTCGGTCTTTACAACTACGAAAAACAATGAAAAAATGTAGAAAAATATAGAAATAGTAAAAAAATACATGTTCTCTATTTTTTCATATTTCATCGATTTTTTCTTGTTTTTCAAGTCCGAAAACGATTGGAAATTCATTAAAATTCAATGAATCTCGTATATCGAGTGTTTACGCTGAATAGTTGTCTCATTTTTCTGATTTTTGTTCGGGTGGGTTTTGTAAAAAACGATTTTCGGACCAGTTCGGATCAGTTTTTTGGACCAGTTGAAATGCCAAAATTCTTCTATTGCCCCACTTGTATTGTGTACCAATTTTCATCCAAATCGGACCACTTTTTGAAATTTCGATTTTTCGCGAATTTTCGAGGTTTTTGACCAATAACTTGAAAAATGTCCAAAAGCCAGCCCAATTTTTTTTTCAAAATAGTTGTTTTTTCGGGGCAAGTTATCACTTGGTAAAGTGGAACCACACTTTCCTAGGAAAAATCCTGGCTACAGCCCTGCTCGCCTCATATACATGTTGATTGCAGAGTGCATTGAGTTGACATGGACTATGATTTGAAGCGTAACTAGAGCATTTGATGCTAATTATGAATAATTCAAAATTGATTTCAGACATAAGAACATTAAGTTGCCAACTCATGGATGGCTACAACAAAGCACAAAATCAAAATTTACAATAAATAATAAGTGTAAACATCACAGATAAGCATCATCATTTCCATACACATAAGAGAATGTATGGGGAACAATTCGTCAGTCTTTTAGTATCGATTTTGCTGTGTGATTCGTGTGCGATGAGTCGAATACCACGTAGGTGGTTGGTACCTGGGGCAGCCCCACTCTTGTTTGTTTCAATCAGCAGCAACCCAAATGGCATTCGGGCAATATGCGTTGTCATTGATGAGTTTGTCCGCTTGAGATCAGGATCAGGTTTAACGGCAACATGAAAATCGAAATTTCATCATTAATGTGGGCAGTATCAAGGTGTTCTCGTGGAGAACATATACAAAAAATGATGTTCTCACTGTTGTCGATCGATGCCCGTTCATTGTATACGATATGAATGACGAAACCCAATCCATAGGAATTTTTCAAATTTTCAATTGGCCCAATGTAACGAATCGTTCCATCAATCATTATCGCTGAACGGTTGCACAGATATTCGTATTCCTCCATACAAATTCGGAAAGAATGAATGATATTTGGAATGAATGAGCAAAACAGCACGAATTTTGAATGTTTATATTTAGGAAGAAAACGATTTAATCTTCTATCATTTGTCAATTTTTTTCAGGCCACAACTCACGTACCGCGCCTACCCGCTGCCACCCGGTGAATATACATTACATATAATACAAATTTAGTGGATGATCATCCGGAGGAGAATCTACTGTATAAACAGAGTACACATAGGTAGTGAGAAAGTGGTCGCCGAACTTCTCCGTGAGAAACGTGCGTAAATGCGACTTATTCAATCCTCATAAAGACATTGCACTGTGGATACCTGCAATAAAATTGCGAATAGTCTGCACTAGGTTTGTACAAGATAGTCGGCATGAAATTCACTTTGGAATTTAACGTCTTCCATCAGATATTTCGGATTGACATTTGCTTAACCATTTGAACCGACTGTATTTGAGAAAATGTGAAGAACCGTTGACTTCAGCAATTTATTGTTATTTCAAGTACCATTACCATTGCCATGGCTTGGCAATGCCGATTGATTTCTCAAGATGATTCAAGAATCTTCAGGGATGTAAATTCCAATTCCATAGCTTCCATAGTCATACTTACTGCAATATAGCCTATGACTTGACCATATACCTACGGTCCAATTACCTGAAAATCATCATATAAATCTAAAAGTAGATGTACGACAATTGATCTAGAAATAAAAAAATAAAATAAAACTAAGTTTGGAATGTTTCATTTTATCAATATTTTTTATTGTGATTTTTTCCCAAAAATATGCAGAATCTTTCATAACATGTATAAATGTGTGATCAAAGTTTAAACAGAAAATCTTTCCCTCGAAAAACATATATTCAATTGTTCAATGAAACAATACCGATTTGCATTATAAAAATGAAATATAGAAAATTTAACGATTTAATGGTAAATTGTGTTAGTTTTACTTGAGCTTGATGCGGATAAACAACAAAGAAAGCGACAAAAGGTATTGAAACATTTTACTAGTAAATAAAAGAAAAAACTATGCCATTAAAAATGAGCGAAACAGAAACCTAAATGAAATTATAGCATTTTTCACGCCAGTTTTGATTATTTGCCTGAGACCTTTAACTGCATCATGAACTCAAGTGATTTGTGACAAAATTTATGTGCAATTCTCACGTGTGACATTTTATTTTCGTTTCTTTAAATTTATAAATAAAAATGCAAATGAATCGAAAAAGAAAAGAGCTGTGAATGGTGACTAACAACAATTTATAAAAGTTTGTCGATCTCTTTGGCGATGTCCATTGGATCGGTGGTTGGAGCAAATCGGTTCACTGGAATGCCATTTTTGTCGACCAAGAATTTGGTGAAGTTCCATTTGATTGCACTGCCAAAGAAGCCGTTCTGCTTTTCCTTCAAGTATTTGTACAGTGGAATGGCTGAATTTCCATTAACATTGATCTAATTGAAAGAAAATTGGATGAAAAAATCGTTGCGTGTACAATTGAACAACATTCACATGAATATGTAAATCGGACAATTGTGGTGCAATGGCATTCATTCACCTTAGCAAAGATATCACCGAAATCGGCCTTCTCCTTCTGCAAATGGCACACCATTTCGTCGCCATCACCTTCCGGCATTTGACCAGCAAATTGATTACATGGAAAACCCAAAATACGCAATCCTACGAAGGAGTATGAGAACAATTCGTATTCAGAATAATGATTTTATAGGGGGAAAATCCATATTTGGAAGTTTTTTTTTAAAACATTTTGTTCTATCATCAACGTTGAATATTCAATTGTTTACAACAACAAAAATTAAATAAAACAGAACTATTCCTCCGTTTCTACCTTTATCGTAGTAGTCGGCTTTCAATTGCGTCAATTTAGCGTAATTGCTTTTGGTCAGTCCACATTGTGATGCAATGTTCACGATAAGCACGACATGTCCACGATACTTTTCCAACGATACGTCCTTATTATATGTATCCTTTACAGTAAAATCGTAAATGGACGATGCCGTTTTGTAATCCACTTCGTTTGCGCCAGCCATTTCTTGTGTTGGACTCGTCGGTTCAGACTATGGAAAAAAAGACAAACAAAAACAATTGATTAGAAGAAAATGTTTTCGGTGTTCAGTTTGGTATTTATTTCTGATTTTCTTACGAGAATTTTATTCAACTTGATTTAAATTTCTATTTTTTAAATTTTCCTTGAATGTTTGACATTTTTCTCAGTAATAATTAAATTGTTTTATTTTGTAGAAACCAATTATTTCTATTTGATGTAAAAAAAAAATTTAGAAATCAGAGAACTTTCATGTAAATAAAACAAAACTCATGACCTAAATTACATTCGAAATAACCCTACACTCTAACGGAATATTTTCAGTAGCGCAAAAGGATAGTTTCCACTTTGTTCCGACTTATTGTTTGGCGTACCTGCTCAAAGTAGTATTTCGACAGCAAAATGCCCAAAAGTAAAACAAGTGCACTTGGAATTACATATTTCAACATAATTTATCCGGTCTGATTTGTGCTTCCAACTACGAAAGAAGAGAGAACGTAGCACATGAATTTGATTTCCATTGCAAAGAGTACTTTGATTTTGTGGTCATAACATTGTTATACGAAAATCGTTTATTTACATTACGTTCATGTCCACTTTAGTGAATTTAATTTTTATGTTGACTCATTTTATGGAAAGAAAATTGATTTTTGGTAGAAAATTGGTTATTGGGTGTTTCTGAACGTGCTTCAAGGTCTATAGAATATTTTGTAATGCTTGTCATTTTCAATGTTTCAATCGATTTGAAATTCACTATAAAATAAGTCTTATTTCCAATGGAAATTGTACATATATATGGAAATCATGATGTTTCTTCAATAGAGAAATGGACAATTTCCATTGGAAATAATTATAATTAATTCTTTAGCAAATGAGTGAAATCAAAACAATGAAAAAAGTCATAATTCTTCTTTAAGTGAGCAAAAAAGTATCAGTCTTCTTAAAGCCAAGCAAAAAAAAACCATTTTGTTATTTGAAAAAAAAAATCAATAAAAAATGACGACAACGGAAAAAATCTACATAAATATTAAACGAGATGTTCGATGTATATCTAACAAAATGTAAACGTGTCTTCTGAATTATTCGAAAATTCCAATAACAAATAATCTAATCAATACAACAGGGAGCACACTAATTCACGAAGGATATAAAAGCAACGGTCCCTCTGAAATTCGGTTTGTTTTCCAAGAAAGTGTTTTGTGATACGTCATTTGCATTTGTTCCCATTCGATAGCAATTCACAATAATTGAATTTTATTTCAAATCAAACACATTGTCGACTCAATAGCATTTGGTTATTACTCATGCCATTAGTGAAAGGAGACTCCGTTATAAATCATATATTGATCCAAGGTATTTATAGCTGTTGATTGAACCAGGATACTTATAGTTGATTCAACATTGTTCAAATTTTTTGACACCTGATTGCCTCACATAACGCGACATGGATTTTCTAGGGAAAAATCAACATTTTGGTGCTATTTTTACATCATGTGGAGCGTGACATGAATTTCAAAGGACATTTCAAATTGGTTCGTTGGAAGTTTCAACTTGGAACAATTATTTTAATGTGGAATATTTTCAGAATTTGGAAAAACAATACGTTTTGGTGTTATTTTGAATCAGATATTGTCGATTTGAGTCACATTTAGAGAATGTAAGGTTTACATTGTGAACAGCTCACTGAACATTGTTCACTGGTCAACATGTTGTATTACAATGGTTGAAAACAGAATTTGAAACACAGAATAGTTTTCAATTGTGTGTCTATTGTTTCAATCATATCTCAGTGAAATAATCTCACATCCTCCCATGATTTTTGTCAAAATCGGAATGAAAATCGATATTATTATATTTCTGAGATTAAAGCGTAGCATTGTAACAATAGAGAACAATATCTGATCCCATTTACACTCTCTAGCATTGTGATTTTACTTTTTTGTGGCTATTCTATTCAACACCAAATAAATCAACAGTATCGTTCAGCACTGCTAAACAGGCAAAGGTAGAAATGCCCTTTGGAATGAAATTATGACATTCTCCAACATTTTTTTTTTGCTTTGTTTTTGTACTTGCGTATTCATATTCCACGCTTATTGCGTTGTACGACACAAAAAATAAGTGACAAATTCGACAATACAAGAAAAAAAATAAACGTATTTTGGTTAGGTCAACATTTATATATGGGAAAGAACCATTTTTTTTTAATCAACAAAGAATGTAGCAAAACAGAATGGCGCTTTGTTTCTTTCATCACGATAAATTAATTCGTTTATGAGCGTGTTTGAGGTCGCAAATTAGCGGCAGTAAGTCTGGCATATAAATAGGCGTCGAAATGTGGGTTCAACTATTTGCACTGGTTTTACGTATGGTTCACTTTGATCATTTTAAATCGATTTTTGAAGAGTTTTGTTTTGATTCTTGCAAAAAAAAAAGATGAATTTTCTATGATTTTGTCTAAGTTTTAGAGAAATCACCAATTTTCACCAAACTATTCACCAATTTTTTTACTTTCTTCACAAAATTCGTAATTTTTTCCCCTTTTTGAATTTTTTCTTCTTTTTTCGTCTTAAAAGTGGAGGATTTTCTTCGATCTTCTCTCTTTCTTTCTTTTATATCCTTTTTTCTACTTTTCATTAAACCAAAATTCCCACGAAATCCACTAAATTGAACCTACCTCTTGTTGACCTTCAAAATCTTCCATTGTAAAACCACCAATAACTTTGCTTCCACCGAGCCAACCAATTCGTTCAAAGAACCAAAAAATCAATCTTGTTTCGTTGGTTGTAAATCGAGGACTAAAACAGAAATGGTGGAGCCATGCAAACGAAATGGACTCGATTTGTTTAATTTTCCATTTATTGATTTTTCATTGTTGTCGGATTCGTGGATGCATTTTTAATGGGATTTAGCAGCGATATGTGTAAAGAGCGATGTGGCCGCTTGTTATACGGACCGAGCGATGGGTTTTGTGTTTGGTTAAATCATTTATTATGCGCGCACGTAATAAAATATTACCGATTCACTGTGCGGTTTAGCGTAGTATAGCTAACGCGCGATACCAATCAACAGTTTATCGCTTCAATCATTGTGCTACAAAAAATCGAAGGTTAACTTAATTGACGCTCGCCGTAAAATAGAGAAAAATGGAAACTTTTCTCGTTTGAAATACTAATAAACTGATTAGAGCCCGTTCTTGAGTTTTTAGTTACTGAATCTATTTTGTTGTTTCACAACAAACTATTTTTTGGCGCACTACATGAAATGTATTTCATCAAAGTAACTTTGAAGTAATATATTTATTTGCAAAATGAATTACAAGATCTTGGTTTTATTCCTTTTTTGAAATATACTGCCTTTAGTTTAAATTAAATAAAAAATATGAGCATAAAATTCAAATTCACCATAATTTGTTTCATCACTCAAAAAGTATTAAGAAAAAAAAAGCAGATTAGCAGCTCTACATTTCATGTAGTGCTAAAAAGCCGACTCTTCTTTTCTGTCATCACATTTTGTCATCTTTTTTTTTACTTTCACATAATATAGGATTTGAGTTCTCAATCTGGGTGGAAAATAGAGGATTGTAGATTTAACTTGCGGAATGCTTTTAGTTGAAAAATTTCTATTAGTAGTAAAAATAAGCAAAAATCCTCAATATCTTTTAAAGTCATCTTTTTTTTTAAAACCATAATTTAAATTCAAATTGTTTTAAAAAATTACAAATGACCCCTTCTTCAGGTTAATTGGTTCAATTTGTGCGTTCGACTTTATTAATGAGTTTAGAAAAATATGTCATTGTAGAATCAATTTGAATTGAAATGGTTTGAATGAGACAAATATAGTGGAGAGGCGGTGATGACTCATATATGAGGCTATATATAGTCAAATATTATTTTTTCGGAGGAGATTTCGAATATTGTAAACAATGAATGTGTTCTACGTATTGAGTTGGTACGTAATTCGTATGTGAATACATGAAAGTGTAAACAGAAAGTAAAGAGAAACCGATGATAACGTTGGAATAGTCACATAGTATTCAATTATTTATAGAACAGTCACCACATGTCATTTTAATCGCATTGGGAAAATCAGTATCAGTCTAGCCATAGAATATTTTTTCTTAATGATGATGACCTGCATAAAATGTAGAAGTGCACATTTTCGATTCGAAAATTTTCAATGGAAATGTTGAACGATTGAACAAGTGCGAATTTAATTTGTAAACAAAATTTAATGTTTTTCTGTAAAAATTGAAAACTTTGTCCTCTGGTCTTTAGAAAATAGATTAAAATTGACACTTGATTCGACTGAAGAATACAGATTAATCAATTCAATTGAATTGATTAATTTGTTTTCGTCGTTCGAAGAAAGTGTCCTCTTTGGAATGACGAGAGGAGAGTTAAGAAAAATGGCAAATCAAGATATTTTTTCGAAACGTGATTACAGAATTTAAGCTAAAATTTCGTCAGTTTGTTGTGTGTTTTGATAAGAATTTCGAATTGTAACATTCTTGTTACGGACACGGACTTTCTGCATGTAGATTCTACATGTACTTACTACATTATAGAAAGATTTTCTATACAGTGGAACCTCGATTATCCGTCAGGCACCGGACCAGCACTATGACGGATAATCGAAGTTTTCATGAAATAAGCCCAACCAATCAAAACTTCCATATTATTATGTATTCGTTTACACGGATGCGAAATGTAATTTTTTTCCGAAATATTTCCAAAATGACACTCTCAACTACATGACTTTGAAATAAAAATATTGGACCAAATTTATTTGGTCTTTCACTAATGACTGAATAACATTAATACTTTCGCTGACCCAAAAATATTCATAGAATATATTTTTGTATCAAACAAAAATGATCTTTAAGCCAAAGCCGCAATTTTTAAAATACCCAAATGTGAAAATGTCATTTTTTCGAACAATAAAACTGATTCTATTCAAAAACCTTTTTTCATTTTCTATTCTCTTGTTTTACTCGAGTGAGTCAGTTCCAATTAAAAATGTGTAGTTCCTAACAAAAACCAATTAAATTAACCGAATCGAAGTGTCAGAACCGTGACTTTTGTCATCGTTATGAAAAGATTGTTCATAATAAATAATAATCGATGTGTTACCATCACATCACAGAGTGATGTGTGTTTTCGTTCGATTCAGCATGACAAGGCAAAAGCATTCATATGAAAGAAGCGATTGTATTCGTGGGTAACGCATAGCTAACGTTCACCCAGCCATAAATCCATGTTTGCGTAGCGTATTTGTATCAGCAAATGAATTTTACCGAAAATTACTTCACACAATGTCATGAATATTGTTTTCCGATGATGATTTCTATCCACGAAACACCTGTTACGTTGACGACGAATTGTCGTTCGATTTTCCAATTGTTGCTCAATTTTCATCCTTTTCCCTTATCAACATTGGTGATAAAGCGGGCCACGAACAGTTCGTGATTAAACTGAAGTAGTACAATAACAACTTGAATGGAGTATGAACTTTGGGCCAAACTGCCGACGATAATAATCTCCGAATATTATTTTTCCGCTATTTTTATATATGACAAATGCATATTATCAAACTGATTCTATGAAGCAAAGAATATGAATTTTAATTCGCAAGCACAATATTACAAGGCCGAATGAAAGTCACGAAAATAAATGAGACTGTTATCATAACAGGCGATGCGATGAGCGTATAGTTAAATAAGACGGAATCAAATGATTGTGATTAAAATTGAGTAATTTAATACGTATGAAACTGAGCCAATGGGCTAATTGAATTAGAATGTAATTTTTTTCCATGCTATATTGTTGGGAACAGTGTACACGAGACACCGGCGGAATGCACTTGAAAGTCATAAACAAACAAACCAATACACAAATGAACACACTATTCATTCGGCAATTCATTGAAAATCAATGGAAAAGGCACACACTCTAAACTGATGGAGATTTTTTTTTTGACAACAACAAATTCCGAATCACACTTAAAATCATGCAGTCACACCACACGCTCTAAATTGACAATGTTGATGACAAAAATTTGGAATATCACACAAAAATCACATGAATTTTCTTTTCTCATCATCTTTTTAATCTTTTTTTAATTTTCTTTAGAGTTTCTATGTCAACTTACCAATTTATTAGCTGCCTCAATGAGAACTGCCGTACAATTGATCTCACGTTTGATGTTGGTATCGTCATTGACATCGGCCAACGATGCTTTTGACAGTAGAACCATCGAAACGCAAATTTTCAATAACACCGATATACGACCCATACTAATGCAGTTCTTTCTTCAATGTGTGACTTCGAGTGTGTGTATGTGTGTGAGTGTGAGTATGTGTTTACGTACTGAATATATTAGCTCTGTGTACCTATATGTATTGAACCAAAGTTGCGTTGTACGCGTTTGAGTGTGTATGAGTATAAGTAACGCGCAATGAAATGCGTTTGTTCTACACTACGTACGTTTTCTTTTGTTCAACTTTTTGAACCGAAATTTACAACAACAATGTACAAGTGAACTACAACTGTGTTGACAACTGCTTGGCGTGATGAGATGTAAGTCGTTCGACGAACCTTTTTCAACTAAACTGTTCGTTCTACAATGAATTCATCTTTATATAGACCGCATTAAATGAGAGGATAACTGAGTGTGATAACATTCATTTAACTCAATTGATTTGTTTTGATTATGTGGGTTGAATAACAAAAAGTTGCTCAGTGTCATCACAGATAATCTTGCTGCTAACGGAATTTATTTTAATGAATCACTGTTGATTCGGTATTCACTGGATTTTTTTGTTTCTCTTGTACGTCTCTATAGTCTTTATTGTGATTCATTTCAAGTGGCCTACTGTTGTTTACAAAGTCTTTAATACAAACCATACAGGCTAATATAATCAAGCACACCCTGATAATATAGAAAATAATTGGACTCGCAATTATTTGTTGTGTCTTTTCAGTCGCAGATTTATTTATCAATTCAAAAAAGAAAAAATCGTTTCTTCGTTCAAATTAGCAACTTCTCGTCAAAAAGGGGGATATTTTTGGACAAAAATTCAATGAAAACTTATTTTTGTTGGCCAAAGGTCGTCATAAGCGAAAATAATTTAGATTAAAATGAACAATTAGACAAATAAATTGAAGTAAAATGAAAAAAAGCAAAGAAAAATCAAGAAAAAAAACTGTTGAAAAGAGTAATCGAGATTAATGTTGTTCATGAGCTCATTGAATGGGCCTTATTCTAAAAAAATTGCTTGCGATTCTAGATGTCATAAGTGCAATCATCGATGTAGTTGTTCAATTCGTCCAATTCGCGACAAAGCGTTTGTTTGGCTTGAATAATTTCGTAGGCTTGCCGTTCGCCATCCTCAAACAATTGAACATTTTTGATCTCCAATTCGTCGATCTTTTTTCGTAGCACCGTAATTTCGTCATCGATTCGTTGTTTAGTGGCGATTTTTTCGTTAATCACACGTTTCAACTTGGCCACACTTGATGATCCTTCTGTTTCATAGTTGGCACATTTTTGATTGGAAATCTCGAGTTTTTTGTTGGCCTTTTGCATTACGGCCATTTGATTGGAGTATTTCTCCATCAATCGGCTGTGTTGTGACTTGTATTCGGCGAGTGCGACCTTGTTCTGTTCAATTTGTTTGATGTGCTCCTGTTTGACTTGTGCACATATTTCGTTGAGTCGATTCAGCCGTAGGCACATGTTCTGTATGGTTTCGGTCGATGCGGTCGGATCGATGGTGTAATCAATTATATTGAGCTGTTGAAATGATCGGCTTTGCATGAGTATTTTTGTGATGTGAAATGTAAATTCGTTGAATTTTTGAATGCCATCCATTTTGAGTTTTTGCAATCGGGCCAATTTCACCTGATCATCGACCGCTTCCACTTGAATTGCGCCCGTTTCATTTTGAATCATGGCGATGGAGTTTTTAATCGATGTTTCTTTGGCAATCAACTGTTTGATATCAAGCGTTGTATAGGTTTGATTCTCAATTTGGCGCATCAAATTCTGGAGTTCAGCCTTTTTGGCCGCCAACTTTCGTGCTTTCTCATCATATGTCATGTTGACCATTTTTAAATATTTACGCTTTTCAACCAAAATCTCCTGTATCTTAACATATTCCCGCTCCTTTTCGGCCAATTGCTCTTCGATGCTATTGAAATACTTCTCGCAATCGGATACAACCAGATTTCGTTCCAACTCTTCGCTTGATACCTTTAGTTTGTCCGTTCTAGCCGCCAATTCTTCAACGGTTAAACCTACTTGCTTCATTTTTGCAGCTATATACCCATTGACCAATTTAATTTCGCCTTCTTTGTCCAACGGGAATCCTTCATCCAATTTCCGTGGTGGCTCGTTTATATACAGATCGTAGTAATTTCGGTTGACTTCGCTGTCGAATAGCAACATATGGTCAGTATTCATCAATTGATCGCATGGTATTAATGGCACGTCGCTGGGTTGGTGATTCTTGATGTCACGAACCAAATCGCAGAGGTAGGCCAAAATTGCTATTACCTCGGGATATGAACCGCTGGAAATAAACACATCATTCAGTCTCTATCAACCTCTAACAGTATTTGAAACTCTCCAAAACCACCTCATTACTTACTGTGCATTTGGTGTCTTCAAGCATGATTTATTCACGACATACGGATATTTCACGTTCTTCAGAAGGTTTATGATCACTTCTTCGTGGTTGTTGCGAATTTTCGAGATAGTCGCTTTGCCGCCGATTCTCACCATCAAAATGGAAATGATGTCAATGAATTGATTGAGTGTCATGGTCCTTAGGCCGCCATTGCCGAGGTTCAGATTTTTGAAAAATGACCGAAATGATTGAATCAATTCCATTACTTTAGCTGTATTCTCGCCGGCCATGCGCCGGTGTTGTTCGGTGTTCGACGTTAGAGAGGTGACAGAGGACGGTGTTCGATTGCCCGGCGATCGGCTGTTGTGGCGCGGAGTACGCCGCGGTGTACGCAGATTGACACTGCTTGTGGAGCGCCGCATTCCACCATACGTTTGACGACGGTCGTTTGAATCCAATGTCGTTTGTGAACCACTTCGTTGACGATTTAAGCGATTCTGTTCCGTGTATGTCGTAATTCGTGAACTCCTGAATGGGGATTGAAAGCATTTTTTTTTAAGGAAAAGTAGTGAAGGATTTTCTTTCTATTCAGCAAAATAATACAAAATCTCAATACAAAATCAAAACAATGAAAACTAATTCTATTGATCAGAAAATTGTGTCTTATCAACAACAACAAAATCTATTCAAAGTAAAACATTCATTTATCATAGTCCTATTCTAGACTAGAATCGTCCAATTCTTGTCATACGGACATTGTTCATTGAAACAAACAATTTCATTGCACCTTTTTGATTCCAAACAGAGTCTTCTACGAAATATTTGCACGGAAAAAGGTAAGATTTGGTTCTTCTGTCAAATACATCGGGTTTTTTTCACCTAAAATACAGTATCACTCTTGACTCACCTTGTTGCTGGCATTTTTATGGTTGTTTCGTGACTTTTTCAAGCAATCAAACCGAAAGTGACTGTAAATCGTTCCAAATAAATAACAAAAAAAAAAGTAAAGAACTTAGGTTGAAAAATGAATTCACAATAAACTTCGTATTCTACAATTTTTTAAAGCAAAACTAAACAATTATTTCTAAAACATCAGTCAAAAAAGGAAAAATTATATCACAGAAGAAAGTGTGCTGTTGGTAATGAGATGAAAAAGTCAGTCTTTCGGTGTGAGTAAGTGCACAAAACTAATGTTTTTGCACATGCATTCGAATTTGAAATTCCACTACGAAAACCATGTTCGAAAGAGTGTCAGAGCACGCTAAATGTCCAAATTCCATATGATATTTGACAAACCATTCATTTGACACTCAGTGTCACTCATTCCGAATTGTCATTCGGACTATAGGAGTAAACAAAAGAATTTAAAATGAGAAATAAAACATTTTGAACGCATGAATAAAAATAGCAAATTGAAATAGTACAAAAATATAATCCACCGCCGAATAAAAATGGTGACCACACAGAAGAAGTATATTTGCATCAATTGCGGTCATCCAATCGATGAACTTTACACCAAATACAGCGCAAATGTGATGAAAATCGTCAATTGTGTAAGAGCCGAAATAATTTCTGCATAAATTTTCAATTAATTTTAATTTTTGTGTGTTTTTTTTTCTGCAGGACAAATGTCATGAAATTGCCGACAAATACATTGAATTTGAACCCATCGTCGTTGTTATTGACTTGGTTCTACTGTCACGGCCCACTTACCGGCATCTGTTGTATAACACTGACTTTAAGGTATACTGTACAATCATACACTATGTGTTTCTTTGCATTTTTTTCAGTGTTTAGAGCCTGAAATAAAATTATTGAGGGATAATCATTTTTTGGGTGATTTTTACCACAAAAATGACCATTCAATAGATTTTTTCATGCAAAGATGATTCTTTTCTTACAATTTCCATTTTTCACATTCAGATCCACTGGAAATTGACGTTGATTATTTGCTTACTTGACGCATACATTTCCTGGTCCAACAAATCACATATCCTCGCTGCTGAAGTTAACAATGAACAATTTACCAAAGAAAAACTATTTTACCTGTGCTTCGCCTTGGCTGTTGCAGGTAAGTTTTGGGCGATAAATTACAAGCAATTTGCTCTGATTCGTTATTGATAAAGAAAACCGAAAAATAAAATTTTTGATTGAATTGGTTTTTGCCCTTTGTTCATTTGAAAATTAATCAAAACGAATCAATCAAACCAATTGCGGTGCAGTTTAAGATTATTCAAAAACCGAAAAAAAACATTTTTCGTCAATTTCAGACAATTTGGTGTTGATGGCGCTGTTGAGTTTTAGCTTAAGGAAATCTCCACTGTTTCTATCGGCTTCGAATCAAGCGATATTGTTGATCAAAGCCATGTGTTTGGCAAATGTGACCAAATTTTTCCTATTGCCCATTGTCATATGGAAGACACAACAGAGTGACTATGTTGTTCAACTAAATTTCCTACTTTTCATCGGATACTTCGTTAGTGGACTCATTCATGTTCATTCAGGTGAAGGTTTTTTTTATTTAAAACAATTGTTTGGTCTTTGGCTATTTGTGTTCACTGTGTATTGTTCACATTATCGTTTTTGTAGCCAAATTTTTTTTATATTTCATTTTATTTCCAATTTTTTTTTTCATGTTGTGAAAAAAAACTTGTCAAAAATGGAAACATTTAAAATTATTCGAGAGAAAAAATTAATTCTAAACTTTTTTCTCTATATATAGAGGTTAACTCTATTCACATGAACGAAATCAGCGTGAAAAAATTGTGTCAAACAAAATGTATCCCAATTTTTCCAATTATTTGGAAGATATAATTATATCTTCCAGTCAAGAGCTCATTGACTTTGTGCCAAAAGAGATTTTGTTTTTTTAAATGTGATAAAAATCGAAATCGTTCTTCTTCTTATCAGTGTAGTCAATTAACAAGTTTTTAAAATCTCACAAACAATTTAATCTCAATTAGAGTATGTAGATTCCCACTTACGTTTTTTGTTTGTCCTTTTTAAGAATAAAAACGGCCTTCTGTCTTTGTGTGAGTTATTTTGTTATCAAATGACGTGAGATTAGTCATGACTCAGCAATGTTTCCTTATAACGTTATCTAAATGCTTATGGTGACTGATAGGATATTTTCGGTGTTTTTTTGTGCAAAAAACACGTTTTTCTATCAATTGTCAACTTACAGTGCGTAAGTTGCACGCACCTAAGTCAATAAAATTTAGTAAATAAGCTTATTTAGTAAATAATATTTACTGTGAACCATTTTCACTGAACATTGATCAAATTTGACAAAAAAGTACACATCGAGATAACTTTATTCATTCAATTCATCAACTAAGTAATTTCCCTGTGCAATTGCCTAATTCATAAACTATGCTAATTGCTAATTCAATTGCTGTTATTATCTAATTCAATCAAATAATTCCATTAACCAATTCAATTTCAAATCTCTTGGAAACTCATCATTCAAACTAGTAATAAAATAAACTTTTTATTGTCATTTCAGTGATATCTGGATTTAGCCGAATTTACTCTGGATTTTCCGTGATCTCATCTCTCGCCATCAAGTCCATCATGTTCAATATTTTGATACGTTATTTGGAGCGGAATTTTTTCCTCTTCTAAATCGTCCAATAAAAAACACGTCCAACAAGTTTTAATCTTTGTCATTTTATTTAAAAAAAAAAACAATGTTCTAGCAAGAAATATATGATATTTCCCAACAACAATTTAAAGTTTTAAATTTAATTCTCTTTATGTTTTTCTTGTGAATATTTAGTGACCTCGTTGATGAGGTCATTCAACGATAAATTGCACTCTTTCTCTTCTTGAATAAAATGCAATTCAAATTGTGGATTTTCGGTATCACTAGCCTTTTTCCCGATTATGACTACCAATGGGATGCCCAACCTGAAAAAGAATCATGGAAATAATCAGTTTAATGTGTTGGGATCAGATTGAAATTTTAAATTGTTGGAGAAGAAAATTCATTTAGAAAAAAAATCCAACCTCCTCGCATTGCGAAATCGGTCTCCAATCGGAACTCGAATCCGATCGTCAACCAAAATTGAGTCTTGCAGTCCTGGAACGGTGTTCAGTCGATCATGCACCTCTTCCAAATAATGACTAGCTGAACTAAATGCTTTGCTTCGCTTCTCTGGAGGAATAATACAAACGGAGAATGGCGCTATTGGAAACGGCCATCGAATGTGTGACTCTGTTGCTAGCTTCTCAATGGCAGCGCCGATTAAACGGGTTACTCCGATTCCATAACAGCCCATTTGCATCGGTACTGGCTTTCCAGCCTTGAGAAAATTCGCCTTCTGCTTTTTGGTATACGTATCACCCAAGAGAAATGCATGACCCACCTGGAATTAGAGAAAAGTTTGATTAATAATTCATTGGAGCAAATTTTGCTCAGCAGATGGAAAAGATAAAAGAAGAGATTTTATTTGAAAAAAATATTGAAGGAAATAAATGAAAAAAATGCAAATAAATTAAAAAAATGAATCGGATGAAACAACAAAAAACAGAATTGAAATGGAGGTCGAAAATAGAAAAAATAATCAAACGATTCGAAAAAATTAGAATTTAGAACAAAAACGATGTTGTATAAACTTTAAATGTGGAAATTGCCACTTTGGTCCATGTCAACAGATCGTCGTTAGCAATCTTACTTCGATTCCACGATTTTTCTGAAGTTCCTTCGATTTACACTTGGGACACTCTGACACATCATCCGTAGTTTCAGTAGAGTCTATTGAAGTTTCTCCGCAAGATGAACAGGTCTGTAGGCTCTGCTCACCAATCGAGGCCAAATAGTGGTACTCATGCGATAAATGGCCGCCCATATCTGTGGCATCCGCTTCCACTGTGGGAGAAAAAAAGATTTAGAACAAATTTTTAATATCAAATTCGATTGGAATTATGTGTGGATTTAGATTGCCAGCAGTGTCAGGAACATTTCTCAGGAATTTTATAATACGTGGTAACAGGAAATTTATAATAAGTGGTCACGAATATTTTTTTCAAAAATACTTCCTGGCAGAATTTAAAACAGAATCAGAATACAATAACAATAAATGATTTCCCGCACATTTTTCATACCTTTTTCATATGGAACCCCAAGAAAAGTAAACAATTTCCTATAAATGTCGTTAACTTCTTCGTAAGTTCTCGTTGCACTTTCTATGTCCACGTCGAAAGTATACAAATCCTTCATAATGAACTCTTTGGATCGCAATAGACCATACCGCGCATTCTCATCACGAAATTTATTTCCAATCTATTTTTGCGGGAGTGAAATTTGAAAATAAAGTTAATTTTTTGATTGATAAAATCTATCATTAATGACATTAATTTGATGTTTAAAATAAATATAGATATTTATTCCTTAATTTAGGAATTTAACTCATTCATTTTAGCTTATTGAATTGGTTTTTCTATTCTGTTACTAATAATTAATTGAAAGTATGGCTTTAAAAATGGAAAATGAAAAAAAAATTGAAAAAACAGAGTCTAGAAATTCGTTCAAAAAAAAGTCACCATGGTGAGTGCACTGCACTCACTTGATATAACCGGAATGGTAATTGTTTTTCGCCGATATTTTGGCCGAGTGTCATCATGTGTGTAATGGATTCTTCAAACGTCTAAAAATCCAAACAGGACGCAGAATTGTTATGAAACGAGAAAGAAATTTGCAATAAGGAAATATCGTTCATGGTGTTGTGGTGAAATATCGTTCAGTTAAATAGTTTAAAAATATTTAAAAAAAAAATACCGGTCCAAGAAGCAGTGGTTTCTCATGTCGGTCCTTTAACGTGAATAGCTCAGATCCATAGACATCAAACCGCCCTATAACAAATATTGATGCATTTTAATGTTGTGATTTAATGCAAATAGTTATTGGCCATTGAAATATTGCATAGCAATATCATTGCTGCAATGAAACCAATACTTGAACTCCCGTATTGAGCAATGCTCCAATTTTCTTTCAAAAAGTTATTTCGTTGCAAAAATTCTCTTTGTCAATTCAAAAATTACAGAAAATATTTTTCGTAAATTTTCCAGAAAAATTCTCATTTATCCAAAAGAAAAAAGTCCATTAAAAGAACAACCACTCTACTTTGCCAACACTCACCGGACTGTGTCCATAGTTCGACGGGCGTTAAATTGGGTATGCTAATTTCTTGTGCATCAATTTTGTGCATGAATCGTTTAATAAGTGCGCTGGTTTTATTAATTGATCGCTGTAAAATGGGCAAATAATAAAAGGTGCCCTTGTCCAGTGGTTTCATCAGTCCATAGTCGACGAGTAACTGAAACAACAACAAATCATCAATATTTTCTGCACAATCAAATGATAGAAAAAATCTTACGCTCTGATTTTTCGATCCAAGAACATTCCTGGTCTTCTGCAGCAATGAATCGGTGGGATGGAAAATTTTCGAAACACGATTCATTTTCCCTAAATAAAATAAATCAACTATTTACAATCCAAAAGAAAAAGCCGAATGCAACACATTGTGCTATTTACATGTACAATAGTCCGGATTTGACATATGACAGCTGCTGTCAAACGTTGTCTAAACGTGTATTAAAATGTCAATGGAAACGCAGAGTAACGCACGCGCACCACCACTAACGCCATCCATACTACTACATCGACACATATGAACGCCAACTCCCAGTAGAGTAGCCATCATCATAACAATAACGTAAAATGCTTCAGTCATTACAGACTTTCACCAAGTGCTGAGTGTACAAATGTGAAACACAAAAGAAATCTAAAAATTTATTCCATTTCTTTGGTTTTTTTTTTCTGTGTAATTTCTCAACATCCAATCGAATCAAATTGAGTATCGTATTGAAATTTGTGTATAAATTTCAAACAGATGCATTTTTTTTCGATTGGGAATATTGTGTATATGACGTAAAATGAAAAAAATAATCAAAAAGCAATAAAAAGAAGCAAAAAGTATGCGGAAATAATATCTGAAATGTCATTAAGGAGGCCATCGACAATGAACAATCCAATTGGAATTTGAACAAATGTTGTCTACTAATTCAACGGCGACACAACAGGAAGAGAAAAAAAGTTGACATTCAGCAACCGAATTTTTTTTTTTCCAAGTGTTTCTATTTCGATGCATAATTTACGAAAAATAGTGAAAAAAAAATAAAAACAAACAACCGAAAAAATTGGTGTGAACAAAAATTAAAATGAGCAACACATTTATAACAACGGTGCAGATTTTCTTATGGAAACACTGGAAATGTTTTCAGTGTTCATGGATTAAAAATGTGTTTATGATTATTGTGCCGATTGCTATAGCTTGGTTTCAAATTCACGTGAGCAGTGCCACCACAAAAGGTGTACAAACCAACTTCCAAACGATCACCGAGGTAAATTTAGAACGCATTTTTATTCAGTCTTTATGCCAATGCATATAGACAGCGATATACTATAAGTGTCGATGCATGCGTTAAGACTGTTGTGCTGTTTTCATTCCCATCGGATGTTTATTTGTTATAATATGGTGCTGGGCTTGCATACAACACCACTCTTTGTTCATGTAAACAAATAAAGGAATATCAAGAAGTATACAAAAAAGTATCGAAAGAGAGAGAGAGAGAGAGATAAAAAGAAGATAATTTTTCGAAGCAATTGCCATTCAACGCATATAATTTATTCAAAATTGTACAGTAAATGTCAACTGTCACCGCTCTATTGTTATTTAGAATAATTTCATTGAAAATAGAATGAATAATTGTAATTTTGTGGATTCTGTTGGGTCTTTTATTACAGAAATTAATCGTAAAAATTAATCGTTTTGTCGTGATTGAAAATCATTCGCGATTTTCTTCGGTTTTTCGACTAATTTCTAGTGTTTTTTTTTTACTCATGTTCGATTATTTTTCGACTTTGTTCATCTTTTTCTGTTTCTTTTGTCCTTTGTTTCCTCTTCTTCTTCCTTCTTTGTTGACTTATTTCTTTTTATCTGCTCTTTCTTGCCACTTTTTCGCCCCTTTTTAGCACTACATGAAATGTAGAGCTACTAATCTGCTTTTTTTTCTAAATACTTTTTGAGTGATGAAACAAGTTATGGTGAATTTGACAATATTTTCTCTTTATGCTCATATTTTTTATTTAATTTAAACTAAAGGCAGTATATTTCAAAAAAAAAACAAAACCAAGATCTTGTAATTCATTTGGCAAATAAATATATTACTTCAAAGTTACTTTGATGAAATACATTTCATGTAGTGCGCCAAAAAATAGTTTGTTGTGAAACAACAAAATAGATTAAATAACTAAAAACTCAAGAACGCAGAGCGGAGCGAAGCAAAGCTCTGCGGTCTTGTTTGCCTCTGATATGCTCTCGTGCAGTTCACACGGTTCTTCTTTTCCGTGGTTCAGTCTTATTTCCTCTTTTTGACTCTCTTTAATTCTTTTTCTTGGTTCTTTGCTCACTCGCTTCATTCTTTCGACCCTTGTTGATCTGCATGAATCAGATGAACCGGTTATTTCGCAGAAATCCATTTAAAAATAAAGCCATGATGCAAATTTGCATTTCGCTACTGGCGCCTTGCCACATATTTTCGAAATATTGTGAAATTTTAACTCTGATCAACTGTTTTACTATTGTAAAATGTTAACTCTGTTGTTGACTCGACAATTATTCATTGAATAAACAGAGTCTTCACTGCGAAGACTCGTCAATAAATTGCTTATCATTACTCAGCAATTTAATGGAACTTCGGTGGAGAGAGATATGAAATAGCTATAATGAGTATAGCACAACTTTGCTTAAGTGCTGTCCAATTTTAATGCGATTTCCACGAAATATCATCGTCGGTTGATAAATGGGACATAACAAAATAGATGATAATTTCGTTGTGGGATTCTCGATTGTTCTCAGTCCTCACTTATGTCATCGCCAGTGGTACGGTTTATTCAAATCGAGGATACTCAATCGTCAGTATAAAGTGTCCCGAAGAGTCATTGAAGCGACAATAAATGACATTTTTCATTAGTAAAAGTGTGTCAATCAAAATGGCAACAAGTTTCCTAGAGAAAGACGAATAGCATGGAGAAAAAAAACTGTTGATATTGTACGGAAGCGCATATGATGGCAATGGAATCGACCTAAAAATAGACCAACAAGAGAAGAACTGCAATCGTAACCTATATTTACTATTTGGAGAAACGGCAAGTGAAAGTGGTGTATTGTCAACAAACGGTATATTGTACTATCCGTACACGCGTGAATGTAAATAGAAAGCCGCAGAATTGTGTTTTCCGTTATACGATAAGGTCACCTCATTCAGTTGGTTTGCCATCAAACCGCATGCAATACAAAGCCACTGTGGTGAGATAGAGGGAGTGATAGAGAAGGAGAGAGTGAGATAGAGAAAGAGAGCAAAAGTTAGAATGAGAGAAGGTGAGAGTAAGAGCTTTTGTGGTGACACTACTCGAGTGAGTATGAGAGATCGAGAAAGAGGGAAACAGAGAACGAGAGTGAGTGTAAGAGAAAGCGAATGAGTGACTGAGTGAGAGATTCACAATGCATAGTTTCCGGCAGATATGTGCCAGTTTTTAATGTGATTATTGTAAAAGGGAGAAAATTCGCCCCAGTTCTAAATTTAAACCACTTTTCACACATACATACACTGTTCCAAATTGCCACACACATTATATTGCAATTGATTTTAATTCAACTTGAACAATATACCATTAAATTGCATATACACTGAACGATAAAATCGATTTGAATATAAATTGTGGCTTCGATTCAAACAACTTGTTTGGAACTAGGTAAATTTTGTTCAAAGAGAGGAAAAAACGAACGATTGTTTACATAATGGATGAAGTCATTTCGATTTCGTAGAAGAAATAATTCGACAAGCAGCTGTCGTTTTTTAAAAAAAAATCTACTCATGATTAGAGTGGTTCGCTGTAAATTGAATACTTTATTTGAGACGTTGAACCGACTGTCGCTTAAATATTGAAACAAAATTGATAATAACAAACCAAGTGCTCAAGCGCTTGAACACTCAGCTATTTTAGTGTTTATTTATTGAAACGATTGTTATAACGAAATGTACACATTTTTTCATATTGACATAGCTATTGGCGATTTCTCCAGAAAGTCGTAATTCTGTGAAAAAGAACCATTTCGATAAGACGCTAAAGCGATAGACATTTTTTCAAGTAGAAAATGTGATAGTTGAACAAAAAATGTAAAGTTTCGTCGAAATCAATGTGACCGAAAATAAGCATAAAAGCAATATGGTGATAGTATGCCTTGGTGTAGCAGAGCATATACCGCTTGTGGACGATCACTTTATCTGATTTTGTGACGCACACTTGCTTGCGTACGTTCTATATATTGCGGCAATGCATATTATATGGCCAAAAGCCCACAAGTGGCACATACTCTGCTATGCCAGGTATATCATCACGATACTGCTTTCACGATTTTTGGACACATTCGTCGAAAAACATGTGATTTCGTCACAAAAGTACTGTAACGCTTGAAAATTTCTAATGAATTTGAATAATTTTATCAATTCTAAATTATTTTTTTATCGATTTTATCAATTCTTTGAAGTGTAATTCATTTTCTTCTTATTTTTTTTTTCAACAGGACGACATTTATAGATATTTTCCGGCGAATAATGAGGACCTCATACTGTACGCACCGAACACGTCATGGACATTTCGATTGATGGAAAATGCACGATATCGATTGAATATCGTGGAAGAGAGTGAGTGATTTTGTAAATGACATTTGCCCCCCAACCCACCCACATTCAATTGATTTTATTCATCTATCACTTGCACTACCTTGAATGTCGCCACAGTTCCCATTTGCTTATGACATGGTTTTCTAGGAACATTTTTTTTTTCTTTCACTAATTGAATTGTGTTCGTCCATTCCAACACGTACGTTACAATCCATATATATATGTTTGCAATATGTCGCGTGCATTACAATGATTGCACGGCTATAATTAGATTAATCATGTGAATAATTTTTGGTTTCAATAATAATGTGAACTAAAATCGTATGTAAATGAATGATATCAACATGAAATCACCACAAAATGGTCTAAATATACGGAATTGCGGCGTCATTTCCAATCAAACGATTTCATTTTTTTCTGTTACAGACAGGTTGTTGTGAATTGCGTTGGTGGAATATTGCAAATAATGTCATTTTTACAGCTGAAACAAATTGATTTAGTACAAATAAACTAATCACCAAATTATCGACAGGAATCCATGCATTTGACAATGAAGAAGAACTACAACAATTCTTTCAACGGCACAAGAACAACCGCAATTTTGCTGTCATTTTTACACAAGATGGAAGCAACGGACTACTTAACTATACCATTCGAATGAGAAATAACAACTTTCGAACCGAACAAATTTTTCTGAATAACATTTATGAAATTGCTACGAGAGGTAAGACCGAACTTATGACAAAACGGCTTTTTTTCTTGAGAATGTAATTTTTTCGGAAGGAAATTCGTCTTTCTCAGAAGGAAAATATTTTTTTTTTTCAAGAAACGAGCCCATATTTCGTGGGTAAAATCATTTTTTGAGACAATTTTTATTTTTTCGAAGCGAAAAATATTTTCCCTGGATAAAAGAATTTTCCCTCGAGACAAAATATGTTTATTCTGCTTCAAGAAAAAGGTGACAATTTTAATTAACCGAAATTTTTTCCTGGCCTCAGATATTGACGAGTACATCGACAGTGGTTTTTTGGCGCTGCAGCGGAGCATTGACAAGGCATACATTGAACTATCTGGCGAACAGAACCCTAATGAGTTCAAGGTAAATTCATTCAATCCTCTTATTAATTCCATTCTCCTGAACCCTCCTTTTACAGTTATAGCTTTTCTATAGCTCAATTAATTGGGCTAATTAGCTCAGTTATTGGTCAACCGATATATTTTCCCTTTAAACTCTCTTCTGAAACGACATTTAAACCTAAATCTTCTCTAATTTTCTAGTTGGAGTTCAAAAAGTTCCCACTAAACGCTCGCGAACGCAAACAATTTATTGGAATCAAGCAAACGGGTATCTTCGTAGTGATCATCTACAGTTTTACTGCATTGCTGAATATGATTCTCGTTCCAATGGTCGAAGAGAAGGGCTGTGGTGTGAAAGAATTCCTTCGAATCGCTTCAACACAGAGCTACCTGAACAACATGACATTTTTCTTCACAAATCTACTGATCGGTTGCATTATCTTCGGTGCAACGTTGATAGTGGCGGCTTGTTATCAACTACTCGGTCACGTTGTCGGTATTTGGCTGGTTATCTTGCTCTTTTTGTACTTAACATCCGCTATTGCGTTTACATTTTTGCTAAGCGTTGCTTTTGATTCGGGTAAGATACTGATTACGATCCATATCATTCGATCTACGTCGGTATAGAGACTAGATTTTGTTGTTGGTGTCTATACGGCTATATAGACATCAAGACTAGTATGGATTCTATACTATAGACATAAATGTTCATGTAGGAATAATACAACGACTGCTTATCAAACGATAAGCTGTATGACAATGCATGACCAAAAAATTGCTATCATTGTACTATTTCCGTTGGATAAAGACAAACAAAAAAGGTATAAACAAGTCATTTTTTCATCAACAGTTTATTATGCAAAAATCGGCGGATTCCTATGCTATATCGCACCATTTTTAATAGTTTTGTTCAACGATAAAATGCTGGATCTGATTCTACCGGTATTCAACTCGGCAGTTTTGCTCAAGGGATTGAATTTAATCGATATTTACGGAATGAAGGGTACGTTCAAGCTGTTTATGTTTCACATTCTATTTATGTGATCGGAAATGTAGCTGGAAAATTTTGGATTTGTGGAGATTTTTTTCAAAATATTTCAAATTTTTCACATTGATTTAGAATTTTTCAATATTCTGATGTTATTTTGATAGTCGTATCGAAGTTTGGGATTTTCATTCCGATTAAAAAAAATTTTGAAAATGATCGAAAATTGAAAAATTCAAATCAAAAAGGAAAAAATTGAAAAAAAATTATTTGCACTTTAAAAAGTCGCAAATAATGAATAAAATCGATTAAACCAGTAGAATAATCTTTTATCTCTTCAATCCGCAGGTTTGGTCTTCTCCTTCGAATACCTGTTAAATCGATCGTATGGATTCTCAATGCTTGAGCTGTATGGATTCCTTTTGGCGCATTCTTTTAGCTACACTATGCTTTACTTCTACTTGTCGCATGTGTTCCCTGGCCGATGTGGAACACCCAAGCCGTTTTACTTTCCATTGATGCCGTCGTACTACTGCAGTAGTTCAAAAGTGAATGCATCAGCGAGCGACAACACAGACACGGTCATTAATATAGACAGTCAGGCTGAGGTAGCTGTGAAAATTCGTGGCTTAACCAAAGTGTTCAAGAAATTCCGCGCTCGGAAAAATGTCGCCGTGAATAATTTGTCATTGGATATTTTGAAAAACCAAATTACCGTCTTGCTTGGCCATAACGGAGCTGGTAAGACAACAACAATGTCTATGATAAGTGGTATCATTCCAAAATCCGGCGGCACGATTAGCATCGATGGAGAGGAAAATGTCGACATTTATCGTCACAAAATCGGATATTGTCCACAGCATAACGTCTATATGAGCTACTTCACTTGTTTGGACCATTTGTGGTTCTTTGGACGGGTAAGACAGGAGTATTTTTGGAGTTTTTTTTTTCAATTCTCATTTTCTTATCGCTGTTGAACTGTTATTTGAGAATTTTTTTTAAACCAATTTTTCAATTTTTCATTTCAGCTCCGTGGATTAACACCAAAGCAAGTGCAGTACGATGCAAATCATTTGTTGAAAAAACTCAATCTAATGGCCAAGGCAAACGAATACGGTCACAATCTTTCTGGTGGCATGAAACGACGACTTTGTCTAGGCATCGCATTGATTGGCAATACGAAGTGAGTTATGAAAATTCCATTTTTTCCGTTTTATTTTTTGCAAGTCAAAAAATCCAAACTTATGAAAACTCTTTAAAAAAATCTTCCCAGAATTGCAATTTTGGATGAGCCATCATCTGGATTAGACCCTGAATCGCGTCGAGAATTGTGGAACATTTTGTTGGATATGCGAAAAGATCACACGATTTTCATAACAACTCACTACATGGAAGAAGCTGAAGCGTTGGCTGATAAGATAGCTATCATATCACATGGTCAACTACTTTGCTACGGTCCATCGATTCAACTGAAACGAAGATTCGAAACGGGTTACATTCTCAAGTTGCTCACAAATGAACAAACGTTCAAACAAGTGGACACAGTGAATTTGATCCAGCAATTCGTTCCGGATTTCGGTTTAAAATCGTTCGTTAAACCAACGTTAATTATCTCGTTACCGTACAAATTCCAACAAACATTCCCCGAGCTACTTGGTCAATTGGAAAAGAGACAAGATGAGCTTGGCATTTCGTCGATTAGTATCACCAATTCGTCGCTGGAAGATGTGTTCTTGAAGAGTGACTTCAATTTTACAAATCGGGCAAAGGAAGTCCAAGATGAAATTGATGCTCCATACAATCGCTTGCGCGAAGAACCCTTGCGGATCAGTGGATTTGAACAATTCCTAGCAATCTGGTACAAAAAGGGCATTTTCATGCGAGCACAATGGCTTTATTGGCTCATGTTGGTGAGTTTAACATGAAAGAATTTTTTTTTTGGAGATTTTAATATTTTTTCAACGATTGAAAGGTTGAAAAAAGTTTCAATTTTTTATTGATTTGATAAAATATCTTGAGAAAACAAAACTTTGAAAATTTTCTATTAAAATTGTTGAATTAACTTTTAAAATTGCCTGAAAAATTTAATCGGGCTTTAAAAAAATTTCAAATTTTTTTCTAACGCTAAGACGCTAATTTTTCTATACAGGCTTCCTTCCCAATCGCAGCCATAGTAATCAGCTTCTTATCGATCAACTATAAGCTATTCAACAAGGGCGACACAGTATCCGAACTCATTGATTTGCACATTGACCGCATCACACCGAGCGACGCTGAAATTCTCATTTGGCTCGATGAATCGCTACAAGATCGCAACTATTTCCAACAATCACTGCACAAGGTGATCGAAAGTGAAAACCTCAGAACGAAATACCTATCTTATCCGAGGAATTTAATTGAAAATGGTGAATGATACAGTTTTTCATCTAAAAAAAATTCAATTTTCTGAATTAGAAACTTTTTCATTGGGTTCAATGAAAAATTTAAAAATTATTTTCAAAACTTGGTCTAATTTTGTAGAAGAAAGGTTCATATATTTGTTCTTTTACTCCCACAGAATTGTTGTATCTGGAGCTTGAGAACACAACGCATTACCATGAGTATTTCCCAGCCGCTTTGGTCATTTACCGCGATGAGGAAACGAAGGGCATCAGTATGAACGTTCTATTCTCGGGCAATTCTCTGCATAGTTTAGCGGCGACGGTTAATTTGATCAGCAATTTTGAACTCCAACTTTTGACCAACGGGAATAATCGCATCAAAACAACAAATGCACCAATGCATCGGTGAGTGTGGTTAATTGAATTGATTGAACAGTGGAAAATTTGTTCATTAACGAAATTTTCGAATCTTCATCTTTTTTTCATCCACAGAAACCAAACAAAAATCAGTAAATCTGACTTGGATGTGTACGCGATGTTCATGCCAATGGCAATGTTCTTCTACATTTTGTTCTACGTTTCGATGCCATTCAACGAAGAACGGACTGAATTCAAGAAGATGCAACCTATTTCACCGTTTATTTACTGGACATCGGTATTCTTGTTTGATGCCATGATTCACTCTCTGTATTCGTACTTTATGTACACCATTCACATTTGGAGTGACGCTCATCACATATTCGAAACAAAGGAATATGGTGAGTTGATTGGTTGGAAGAAAACACTAAATTTGTACTAAAAGTTACAATTCCAGAAGTATTCTATGGGTTACTTTGAACATCTTCTTCATTCTTCAATTTTTGACAATTGACATTTTCTACAATTTTTCCTAAATCTGAAACTAATCCATTCTAAATTTCAACAGTTATGTTCCTGTCAATTTACATGCTGTATGGCCTGACCTACCTTCCGATCATCTATATGGTCAGCCAGATGTTCCGTACCATGTCGTCTTTGTATTCGTTCTTAACTTACATGTTTGTTATTTTCTGTAAGTATAATGATGAGTTTTCCTTATAAGGAAGAATATAAATATTTTAGACAATTCACTTGTTCCGACGGTCGGAATCCGACCAGAACAAATGTGCAATTTGAATTTTTCTAGAGATAATTCTTCAATTATTTTCTAATGTTTTTATTTTTAACTAAATCTGAATTTCCATCTTACAGATATAATTGCTTCGTTCATTTCATCGTCGGAGGACAATATTAAAACCTACAATATGCTGATCAACGTTCTGTTGATCATTCCAGACTACGCTTTATCACACGCGATCAACTCACTACTCATCACCTATGTTAAGCAACACGAAGCACAAATGAACTTCAATTTCGGTGAGTCCAATTGAGTTTTTTGCTCTTTTTTTGAAGTAAAAATTGAATGAAAGTCAATTTCGTAGACAAAATTATTTTTCAAAAAATCAAACTAGTTTAAATTCAAATTAGATTGTATTCGAAAATAGTAAAATTTTCAATTAAAAAAAAGTTATGATTTAATCATTCAATAAAATATTCATTTCTTCTTCAGATCATCAATATTCACCAACGGCTGAAATAATCCCAGAAACTTTATCCTACACTGGCACATCTGGACCACTTGATTTGTCAAGATACTTCATTTACGCAGCTGCTGTTATCGCTGTTACTTATGTGAGGATCATTTGGAATTATGAATATTTTTTTATTCACATTTGGGTTGCTATTAAGTAACAAAAATAATTTTGTTCTCATTTGGGACTGCTCTTCGATAAAAAATAGCAAATTGATTAATTTGATTCAATTTTTCTTGCCTTTTCCAGTTGATACTGATCAACATTGTGGAGAGTATTTATCGGCGCGAAAAATTGCGGTGTTTCTTTACCTTTAGATGGGGACGAAAGAAGCGATCAAAAGACAATCAATCCAAAACGGGTGATATTCAACTGAACTGCTGCTCGGCGAACAGTTCTTCAGAGGTCGAAGAAGAGAAATCACTGACCAGAACATTGGTTCGCGAACATAAACTCAAAGATTATGCCGTGATTGTGGCCAATTTGTACAAGGCCTATGACAGCTCGGACGTTGTACGAGGCATTGATTTTGCTGTTAAACAAGGTTTGTTTTTGAGCAATTTTTTCTTTCCCAATTTTATTTGTCAATTGATGTAACATTATGTTTTTCATATTTGTCTATTATGTTTATTATAATGTAATTACATTTAAATTATACCGCCAAGTTCTGGCTGAATTTACAGGGAAAAAATGGAGCACAAAAATAAACAATTTTATTGTTTGAAAAAGTTTGATTAGGATATTAGGAATAGATGAATAGAAGAGATTGTGTATATAAAAATACTATAACCAAACAAGGAAATGCTCCAGATAAGACGTCACCAATGGGAATACAATAGCATTATTATACATTTCAGAAAAGACACTTCAAAGCAAGTCCGTACGGGTATATTAGAATGTACAGTGTACCGTTCGCCTTAAACAGAGATGTACAAACATGTAATAGAAAAAATCATAGGATAAAAAAATTGATGGCGTCCATAATGCCATGGCGCTCAAAAAATTGTCGAACTCAAAGCAAGTAGGATTAAAGCTATTACGGGATATTATAGGCAAATATAGCTTATAGTTAAATTGGTTGGTGCAACATAGTCTATTTCCATTTAACTAAGACTAGTTCATCATCAATCTTACATCAACAGTACTGTATTTCTAACTGATGCTTGTCTAGGATGCAATTTATTCGAGTCCAGATCACGATTCAGCAATGTTTTTAAAATTGTTTATTGGTTTTTATTAATTTTGAGGTATTTTCATTGGGTATGGCGAAAATAATTTATTTTATTAAGACTTCCAAAAATTTTTTTTTGATTTATTTTGACTTTTGAATTGACACATTGATTTCAAATTCAAATTGTATGATTTTTTTTCGAAATTTAACATAATTTCTCATTCCAGGTGAATGTTTTGGCCTGCTTGGCATTAATGGAGCTGGTAAAACGACAACATTTAAAATGTTGACCCACGACACGACTGTAACTCACGGTCAAATTTACATCAACGGTATGAGTTGCTTCGATCAATCGACTCTGGTAAGTATTAATTTAATGCAGATTTTGGGCAAATCGTTCAAAAATCGAATCCAAACTGAATTTCGGGCATTTTTCATTCAATGAAAATTGCTTCAAATATTTTGATTCAAACTACACATTTTGTGTTGCAAAATATGAATAATTTTTTCAGCCAAATGAATGAAAAAAAGAATGAAAGCAAAAAATTTATGAGAAAAAAACAGAAGATTAACGCACAATTTTATTTTCAGTACAAAACATTATTTGGCTACTGTCCACAAGTGGATGCATTGAATTCGTACATGACAGCTTATGAGATCCTGAAGTACATGGCTTGGATTCGAGGTACGCCACGGCATCGCATCCATCGCGAGGTGGAGAAATGGCTGAAGAGAATGGACTTGGCGCGATATAAGCATGTTCAGATTAAGTTCTATTCCGGTGGAACTAAACGAAAATTGAACACTGCCATCGCTATGGTAAGCATCATTCACGTCAAAAATTTATTAATTCAATCAAAAACATCAATTTCTATTTTTTTTTCTTTAGCGGAAGAGGTTTTTTTTTATTTTTGTAATTTTTCGGAAGGAAAAAAAATCTGACTTTTTAAAAAAATCATCTCTTCAATCTATTTTCAGATCGCTGTGCCGCAGTTAATTTTATTGGATGAGCCAACGACTGGCGTTGATCCAGTCAGTAGGCGATTTATGTGGAATTGTATTCAGGACTGCCAGAAGAATAATAAAAACATCGTGCTAACATCGCATAGGTAAGTGAACGAGGACATTGAACATTAAACACTGTTCACTGTTCACTGAGCAATTTTATGCTGTTTGGCTAGTTCATTCCAAATAACCCAAATCAATTATTCAATTCTTTCCGAAACAGTATGGATGAATGTGAGTACCTGTGCAACCGTTTAGCGATAATGGTCGATGGAACGATTCGTTGCATTGGTCCAATTCAAAACTTGAAAAATTCCTTTGGATTGGGTTTCGTCATTCATATCGTATACAATGAACGGGCATCGATCGACAATAGTGAGAACATCATCAAAGTGAAAGAATCGATGGGTCAGATGTTCAACCAGTGTAAATTACAGGAAGAATATGCGGTAAATATGCTTGAAAAACAAATCTAAAATAGATACAAAAACTAGCTAAATTTTTTTTTTACTAATCGCATCCTTTCATCCACCGACCAGGGTCGCTTGACATTTATCGTCAAAGAGGATTCATTACATTGGTCAGAGGTGTTCATCAAAATTCAAAGGTTGCAAACCCAGTACGGGCATTTCATAACCGATATAACAGTGAATGAGACATCACTCGAGGACATTTTCTTGCAGTTTGCAAACACTAGCACCAACGATCCGGCATCAAATCAAAATAACTGTGCTCTCGAAGCGCTCTCAATCTAAGTACCATCACAGACAATGCAATGTGGTTTCAATGATCCCAAATTACTTAACCGCCTGTGTTCAATACGTCATTTTTGATCTTAGCATTGAAAGTATTTGTACTGAGTAAGCACAGTTTTTATTTTGTATGCGACAGAGGTGTGCAAAATGTCCCAATAACCCGTTTTGTCGATATATATTTCTTTTCGTGTGATCCAAAAATGTTGTTTAGGAGAAAAAAAAAAACAAGAGAAAGTAGTGAAAATTTTGATGACATAATCTGATTTGATTGAGAGAAAAAAAAATGCCGAACTGAAACGAACCTGAACCATTCAATATCATCATTTGCATATATTTTGTGCATTAGACCGTAGTAAAGAAAAAACATGGATTCGAAAGAGAGTTTATATTTAGATGCTGCCCAAGCGTGTGTATTGTGATTGTGATTGGCAGCTAACTAAAATGATAGTTAAGTTAATATAGAGTAACACGATATCAATGTAATTATGTTAAAACCACTTTATTTTTTAGACAAACACATTTACTAGTCTCAAATTCCATTCGAGTTAACATTTTTCTTTGTTTAAGTTGATTTTAAACACATATTCACATTTATAGGTTTAATTCAATTCTATGTTTTGTGCCCGTTTACGGGCGCTTGTATAACAATTAATGTACAGTAATTTTTTTTTAACCTGGCATTACAACAGTGAAATATTCGAGATTACTAGCTTCGATTCGAAGGCAGCTAAAAATGTCTGAAGAAACTCTGTGAGTTTACAGGCCAACGAGAGAATAGGAAGGAATTTTGAACGAATATTTTGGGCGAAAATGAATGAATTTTTGAATTGAAAGAATAATTCATTCCGAAGTTATTCGTTCGAAATGACTACGGCCTCAGGCTGTAGTCTACATACTCGGGATATAGTCTATTGCTCAGAGGTCGCAAACGAGGATTCTAAGATCAAAAGTTTTTCTCCTAGAATTTGACGAATCTTTGGATCTACACGTTTGAGATTACAAAAAATTCTTCAAACATGACTTCTGGTTTTTGTTTAAACAAAAAAAAATCCAGAGCCCCGTGTTTGATTCCCGAGAAGAAGAAAATTTCGTTCATTTTGGTCTCCAAATTTTCATCAAATTTTGGGCGAAAAATATTTTGTTTGTAAAATTCCCGTTTGCGACCTCTGCTACAGCCTGATAAGGTGATAAGGCCAGAGCCAATCAACATCAGGAACATTTCTCCCTCCAAAGAGTGAGCTATTACAAATTGATTGATTCAATTGCTGTTTTTAAAAGCCTTTCACTGAAAGGTAATCGTTCTTTGGAAGGATCAAAATCAAATCGCACACAAATAATCGAAAATTTTCGGTTCGAAATCCAATCGCAGTCAATATATTCAGCGTAAAAAAGTTTTGAACAAACGTAACGCGTAATATACAGCGCAAAGAATGACTATTGATTGCACACAACTAAAAACTATCTGCGCCTGTGTGCAGAAATGTTCCAAATGACGCATAAAACCAATAATAACATGAAGTTTTAATCTCTGAATACTGGCAAATGTCAAATACGTACACTAACACACATACATTTAATATTCATTTTCAGTTATATTTACTTCATTTAATTAGCATATAATTTATTTAAGGACCTTCCCTAACAAAGAAGTGTCAATCAATTGTATACCCTTTTGTTGTCGCTAGAAATTGTCCGCAGCGAGCCCATTTCATGAAAACCATGCATTCAACAACAACAACAAAACACGTCCATTTCATTTGGAGAATTTAGCTTTGTTCATTGACACCAAACACCTCTGTACCTCTGCTCTGTAGTGTAGTTTTAATGTAAAAGTCATATGTGACTGGGTCTTCTGGTGTCAACAAAGTGAGCGAACATACATACAAAATCAATATTTTTTATATGAACTTATGATCTATGAGAAGCCTTCATGTAGCAAACATAAATAAATCTCGATGTAGGTAGCAAGTGGACTTCGGGAGATCATGTCACCATTGACTTGTGCTCGATTTGTAATTTTGTTATTTGTGTAACACACAACAATTCACATTAAATCAAAAGAAAGTAGAACCACAACAAAGAACAGTACTTACAAATTCATCCGAATCTCAGCAATCAACAATATTCTACGTGATCAAACACCACACAATATAGCTAAATGTTTATTCATTGACTGAGGCAAACAAAACAGAGAAAGAAATATGTGCGCTAAATGCTCAGAAACAATAAAAACAGATGCAATACGAGTAATAAAATGATTGAATGTACGATTTATTTCGATAGAAAAATGAAACTTTGTTTCAACACCGTTTTGAACTTTATCCATGCAAAAAGCAATTGTAATTCATATATTAAACAATTTAAATTGATAGAGAAAAAAACAAGTTTGAATCTATTTAAATGGAGTAGAGAATTTTTTTGTGTACATTTATGACAATGGGCTTGACCAAAACAAAAACAATATAATCGTGTATTTTTTCGACATGTATTTAATGAAAATAAAATAAATGGATTTTTTTTTCGAAAAATCATAACTGCGTGAGTGGAACGACTTATTTTCTACGCATTTTCTCCTATTTTTTTGTGCGAAATTTTTCTTTGCATTTTTTTCTGTAGGATTTTTCAATTGTTTAGTTCATCAAATGATATCAGTTGAATGATGATTTGAAAATTGAGTTTAAAGTGAATTAACTGGATTTGATTTCAATTAAAAAGGTTTCACATGCTTACTAAATGTTTTTTGGTGCCATGAAATTTCCATTTAAATGGCAAATTCGAATTGATTCAATTCAATTCAAAACAAGGAGATTAAATTCAATTTTTGATTTGATTCAATTCAATATAATTGAATCAATTTTTTGTGAGCGTCATTACCCGCTTAAACTTGAAATTGAGCTCATAACAGCGTATTTCCGTATAATGTTCCAGCATAGCTCCAGCTTTACAGATCTCTGATCCGGTCACATTTTTCCCTTCTTTTTGGCTGTACTGGTGACAGTTCGAAAAGATCAGCTGAACATCTTTCATAAAATCATCATTCGTTTGGTATTGTCCTCTGTTTAATTTGTTTTCGATTGTGCTAAAATCCATTGGATATTTGATGATTTCCTAGTAGTCAGGTACTTTGGCTTTGCTTAGTGGTCGAACGAAAGCCAATGAGTGTCTATTTTTGGAGATATCGTCAAGCAGTCTTTTGGCTGTAGCAACATTAATGCGATCAACAGTTGTTTTCGACTTTTTGGTCATTAATTTCATGACGATCGATTCCCAGTCATTATCATCCAACATACCTGGGTGAAAAATTACGAAAGAAAAGTCGAAATGGATTAATAATGAAACACAATGAGAAAACGATAGAAATTAAATCTGAGAGAACAAAGAAAATAATAAGAGAAAATGTTTAGTGACAAAGTTATACAAAGGCCATTGAACATACGCTTATGTTTGTTGATGTATTGAGAAAACTGTTCCCTGCTCAGCTTATCAAACGGAATTCGATCAAATGAGTCCTTCAGCTTTGATTTCATATTGGCTGGAGTGGGATGTTTTTTGCTTCGCTGACACTCCGCTCCGGCCCAAGCCATGCAAGCATTTACAATGGCCGCTGCTCTACACAATGGTAACACAAGCTGCAGAATTTTGTCGAATACTGCGTGTTCGCAACCCAAGAGATCGGCCGATTTCAGGACTTCGGCTCCATTCTGTGAAATCTCTTTTTCACACACTTTCGACAATTTTTCCATTTTCAGGGAACGGGCTGCTGCGTATGTTGAGCACACATTTGAGACCTTCAACGCTTTCTGCATTAAATCGGCGCATATCTTCAAACCGTCGACCTCATATTTCTTACACAGTTTGGCCACTTCGACAACGTTCTCGGATTTTACTTCAAATTCATCAAAATAGAAGAATTTTAAGAATTCGCGGAATGCTTTGGCCGATACATTATGGATTTTTATGGGCTGTTCTGCGGGTGATGAACCATAAAATAGTTCTTCGAATACAGTACTATTGGCTGATAAGAGATTTTTATGTGATACAATTTTCTTTGTTCCAACTTGAAACTTGACATCAGATGTCTTCGGATCCAGATCCAACTTTCTCCCTTTTTCTTTCGCCAATTTTCTGTTCCTAACGTGCAGATTTTTACCTTCCATGTTCGGTTTGCTGTTGTAATTGGGTTTGATATTCAGACAGATGAATTTAGTTTAAGGTTATGAAGCCTACTACAAAATGAGTTCCAGTAAAAATATTCACTTTTGATGTTTTTATTCAATTGATGGGTCAAAATCGATATTCAATGTATTCAATCAAAATCACCTATGTGACACAAACTTGATCGTTGCTGAAAGCTTCAAAAATTGCAAAATCCTTCACAATTACCAACTAATTAAAACACGTGGCTTGCAGTCAATGTCGCTTCTGGATGCTTCATTGAACATTTTGACACATTTCATGTCCTGGTCTAATTTAGTCAAAATTGTCATTGGACGCATTCAGCTGGTCTATGCTCAAGTCAAGAATATTCTTCAAATTGTATTTCGTTGTACATTCATTGAATCTGACTGATCAATCGAATTCTCTTGATGCTGGATACATTTGCGTATGTACAAAATAAATGCAAACAAATATTTTCGAGAAATAAAAATGCAATCAACAATTTTATGTTTGAATGAAAAGTTTCTCATTTATTTTCACCATAGAAAAGAATAGAAAATGACATTTATTCAAGTAGTTCGCAAATAGTTCCGAATCACTGACTCAATGGACTATTGTGGTTTTTTGGTCGATTCATTTTGATGTTTTCGTCAAAAGACTTTGGATTTTGGATTGAATGAAAAGGATCATCACGGTCCAATTCGTTGAAACATCAAATGGGTCACCATGTTTGGTCCATCATCGAAACGGATTTCAGCGCCATTATTAATTTTGGAGTTGTTTCTTAATTTCCATACCCAGACTCGGTGTTCGCCGTCAATGTGACACTTGATTGAGTATTTTACGTTCGGATCGATAACAACTGGAAATGGAAGCAAAACACGCTCTACAACGCCACTTTTGATCAGCACTGTTCCCAAATCCAGCGATTTTTCACTTTGTTCGTTGTGTAGAGTGATCGTGGTCTTTAGATGATCTGCTGGCTCTTCAATGCGTTTGACTGTGACCTCAATTTGTTTTAGCTGAAGTTTTGTGTTTGAAGTAAACGAATTTGTGTTGGTGATGGGCGTTGACACAGCGATTGATCTACTCTCTCGTAGATCTTTGGTACGCCAAAGACGACTGAAGAACAACCAACCTGAAGCCGACGTTGTCACCATCTTTGGCTCGTGTTTCTTCAAATTGGTCTCCAATCCATCCTCGTATTTCTTCGCTTTCTTCAAAATGATCTCTTCCAATTCATCCTCGACGAAAAAACGCTTGTACGTTTTGGTGTGGCGGGAAAACTCTACCGAATCCAAATCAGCAAATGGAATGCGATTGATCAAATGTTTGAGTTGTGCTTTCAAGTTTAATGGAGTTTCTTCGATATTATCTCGTTCACATTTGGCTTTGGCCCAAGCCATGCACGCGTTAACAATCTCCGATGGGCTGCATTTCGATGTCACCAGCTGTAGTATTTTGTCGAGAAGCTTGTGGTCGCAATCCAAAAAATCGGACGATTTCAGAACTTCTGTTATCTTCTCGAAGATTTCTTCCTCACAGAATTCGACGACTTTTTCCATCCCAAACAATGAGGCTACTGCATAACCAGCACACATATTGTTGATTGTCAGTGACCGCATCATCGGTGCTTCGCATAGCTTCAAACCATCGTTGACCTCGTATTTATTGCACAAATTGGCCACTTGGAAGATGTTGCCGGATGTCAGTC